TGCCCAACGTCGGGGACCGGCCAGTCCCCTCCCCTTTTTTTTTTTAATTCCGACCCAAATATTATTTTATATTCAAAATCAAATTCTGAATATTAAAAATAATTTTCTTAATCACTAAAACAAGAAAAAAAATTAACATTTAATTGTTCCAATATGCAAAGCAACTTCTAACAAACACAAAGTAGGCTCTGATACCACTGTTGGGAATCTACTTATACATGCACTATCTCACAATCACAATTCCTTGTGATTAACAAATTACAAAGATTTGAATCTACGGACTCTATTATTTATTAAATTATCTATTAATTAAATAATAGATCTGCCATTTAATTGCATTAATTACATATAAAAGTATTTATGTCCAAAGTTGATTGGACCTAGGGCATAATACTTACATGGATGAGTTTGACGCAAATTTTGGAGATTTAATGATGCTTGATTGCTTTGTTGCCAATAAATGAAGTACGAAAGATGGGAAAAAAGTGAGCGTCTAGGAGGTTGTTGCTATGTTTCTAATGATTGTAGGGCACACTACACGATACAATGTTTCCAACAACACAATACACAAATGGTTTAAACGAGTTATCCGTCCGACAAATCGAGATATTGTGTATGAGCGGATTTTGCGCAAATATCCTTTCTTTAAAGATTGTATAGGCGCAATAGATAGAACATATGTTGTAGCTTGGGCTCCTGCATCAATACAAAACATCTTTTTGAGGAAGGAAAACTAATGTAACACAAAATGTGATGTTGACATGTGATTTTGATATGAAATTCACATTTGTGTACTCTGGTTGGGAAGGTATTGTTAATGATTCGCTAGTATTCGTCGACGCAGTCACAAGAAGCTCGAACAACTTTACAATGCCACGATGATGTATATTTTTATACTCTAAAGATGCATTGCAAATATATTTACAGTGTCATACTATGTAAGTCTTTTTTTTAGTTTGCAGATTAACTTACCTTGTTGATCTGGATATCCAAACATGCCTGGATTTCTTGCCCCTTATCAAGGTCAAAGATGTCATCTACATGACTATGTTGGATGGGGAAGACTACGTAAGAAGGAAGAATTGTACAACTACAGACACTCCTTGTGCCCTAACATTATTGAACATTGTATTGAAGCTTTAAATGCAAGAATATTTTGAAGTTGATTACCAATTATCCACTTAGTAGGCAAAGAAAAACCCCCGCTGCATTTTGCGCAATAAACAACTTTATTCTTCAGGAGCACACTTTAGATAAGTAGTTTGTAGAGTATTCAGAGGATAATATGATGTTTCAAGACATATCGAAGTCAAGTCAAGATCAAGAAGTCATACATTTTGATACTAGTCAAACAACTCAAATGGGACAACTCAGGAATTAAATTGCTACACAAATGTGGAATGACTACTTAAGACGTCGTACGTGATTTTGCGAATGTACTTTATATTTTGTTTAGTGTCTACTTGTTTTGAAATGAATTGTAAACTTCTAATAGTATTTATTGAATTAGGTTACCAAATTTAATTTAGGTTGTACTTTTTATATCAGTCAAAAAATATTTCAAGATTGACCAACTTCAAAATTTATATGGTATTTAATACTACATTAACGTTAAACTATTAAAATTTATTGAATAATCATATTTCTTGAATAAAATATTATAAAAAATTATTCTCAAAATTTAAAATAAACGCGTTTTTCAATTTTATATTTTCAAAAATAATTTTTCAGAATGACAAAGAGAACATATTTTCAACAATTTCAAAACAGGCACTCAAAACACAAAATTCAAAATGAATTCAAAACTCAAAACTAAAAAATTGGAACACGAAGAGAACTGCCCCTAATAAGTTTGAACAATCTGATCAAGCATAAAATTAGAAAATATTTTTTTATTAAACTTCAACCATACATTTTAATAAATTTTTACTAACTCTAAAATCACATATGTCATTAATTTTTATCAAAATTTTTGTCAAATAACTCATTAGCATTATTTGGTATTTATCTAATTTATGTTGTTAGCGTTCACTAGTCATATTAATTTCTTTTTGCATTTTGGGCATTAGGCTTACTTGATTGGCTAATAAATCTTGCTACACATTCAAACTCAAATTTAGATGGGACACGTGTCGACACATAATAGAACAATTTGAAAAATTAAAATAAAAATATCCAATCATTTTCTGACATATTAGTCAATTTTTTTCTTTCTTATTTTTGAATCTGGACAAGTGACTTTATTTATGGTTGATTGTAATGTCTCTTTGAGGTCATTCTTAATTCTCTTAATACTCAGTCTGAGGTCAAATAACTTTCTTTTCTTATAATTATTGTAGTTTCTTTGGGTCGGAAGTTATTTCAGAATTACATTACTTCAATTTGCAACCAAGTGAGGATTTTCATGACCAATTTATCTATATCTTCTTCCTCCCTCTTTTTTTTTTTTTTTTGCTCCTGAGACATAATTCAGTGGTGCAAAGGACATGAGTGAGATTATCTCACGCCTTGCTGACAGCCGCAATATGGGGATTCGATTCCTGAAATATGAAATTGGACTCCTTATAGACGTACAAACAGCTCTTGTTCCATGACCTGATGGAGCACATCCCGCGATTTACTTCCCGCACAAAACTCTAGGGACTAGACGATGGGAACCCTCACGGTTGAGGTTCAACCTTTTTTTTTTTTTTCAAATAACCTTCTTTTGGTTTAAGTATTTTCAATCTTCATGTTTAATAATTCCCTGAAAAAAATTCTGACAGGAAAAGATGTTATGAAAGCAGTCAACACTCAGCTTGACCTGTGCCCTGTTTTGGTGGCAGTTTTTCCACCAATTTAATGTACAATTGACTGCTTATAAGCATAGTTGGTAAGCACAAATTGATTATACCAAACAAAACAATGAACAAATACATCAAATATTTCTTCTTTTTAATGAAATGGATAATTAAAAAGTTAATAATTGTTGACTTTAACTTTGATATTAAAAAAAAAAAAAAACTATATTATGATTCTTATCAAATAGGTGCTTAATCTTGTCTAGCACTATGTAGTTGATCAATACATCAAATGTCAATTGAATGTTAGATATGTAACAACGAACGAAGCTAAACACTATAAATGATTAGCTTTTTAACTCTTGTTTGATACACAAGATTGAACTGTAATTTTGTCTAATGTTGTGTATCAAAAATCAAATACATGTTTGGTACCTCATGGAACAAGCCATGATTAAACATGAAGAATGGGAACAAATATGCTGGTTAGTGCATAAATTACCATAGCCAGGGCAGTAATATGACTGAAGAATAACAACCCCATACATACTAAATACATTTTTAGGAAAAAAAACAGAAGAGGAAAAAAAATTGATTTTTGAGTCTGCAGATCACCGCCCCACCCATCCCATCCATAGAACGATCCTCCACTGCTTTGATGCCGCCAAGACAGACAATATACACTTCAATAAAAAAGAGTCTTTAGAAGAAAACCTGGAGCACTTCTGCTGCTAAAGGGCCAACCAGCAGTAACCAACCTTTTAGTAGATTTTATGGACAGTATGATGATGGGAATTAGACAGTATTATACATTAAATTAAGTAAAAGAGGCAAAAACACGGTCCAATCGAGATTTTCTTTTGAAAAAAGCAGAACTATCAAAAGATTTTTGACATAGAGGCTGACAGATAAACACTGTCGTGGAACCCTCATAAAAAAATCTTCAAAAAAGTGGGCCCTCCCCTTGCTGTGAGGGTCGGTCTTGGTCACCCATTCTCGTGGCAGTGTAGTAGTTCTGTTTTCTTTTACCTACCATGTCAAATCCTTGAAACTATTCTACCAAAGAAATTATAGCCCCATGACATTAAGAATAATGTTACTTGTACATAAACAGTTATATAATAGTTTACATATAAATGAGATATCAAAAAGAGAATGTAAACTTTTTTTCTCTTTTTACATCTATTTTTATTTGGTCGATTCAAACTCAATCAAATCTAGTCACATTATGTGTATGTATATTATTATGTAAGCCTATTATGTACTTATAACACAGTCATTGCATTAAATGTAGACAATTCATAATTAATCCTTCCCCCCTTTTCATCAATAGACGCTCAATCAAAACTGACAATGCACAAGTCACAACCCTGAAAACAACTTATCTAAAGCATATGCCTATGAGCATGTGATAATCACTCATGGCTTATGCTACTTAAGACTTTCAATTACAAGACATACTTGTGTTGATCTCTCGTCCGGACCTTGAAATCGACATGAATATCCGTGACATGATTTTCCAAAATAACAGGAAAACATATAAATATCTCACGAAGGAGCAACCAATCTCATACATCTGACAATTCTAACCAAGATCAAGCAACATAGATCACACCCACTTGATTTCACCGTCACCAGTGGATTAGCAAAAGTTACTTATTTTGCAAGTAACTTGGTTACACTCATTTTCAACTTTGATCAATAAAAATTTATTACTTCAAAACCTATTTACTTAAATAGTAAATTTTTTGTTAAGCCTATGCATTGTGTATAAATGATAGGTAACACAGAATCAGAAAGGCCTACAGGTAGGAAGTCATCATCTAATAACTCGTCATCAACTTACCCTAAGCTTCTATCTTAGATTAGATGGACTTTGTATAATTTAAATGTTTATAACTAACAACCCATTCTGATCTATTGTTCTTCCACATTTATCTATTTTCATGAGTTTGATTTTTCCATTACTGAACTTCTTCAGGTAAATTTGCTTCAGTAGTTGATTCTTATCAAGGGCAGTTATCTGAAGATTCCATTAAATGGAAACGCGGTTTTGTATCAAATTCCAGCCAAATAAGCTTAAAAGTATTTCACTAACCCGATTGGATTATCATGAATACTAGATGTATATATCGATAAATCTGAAGTGTACAAATTTTCTTGTATGAACAAAATAGTAGAACAAATCGGTAACAAATTTCTGCAAGTACAATAATGAAATAGTATAAACAATTAAGCTGGGTCTCATTGTATGAAATAACTTATTTTGTCAAAGACAAAGGTTTCAGTCTGTGTATATTGTTGTCATCGATTAGGAAATATAAAGAATTTTGCATCTATCATCCTTTTGATGGTTTCAATCTATTGCAATTAAAATCCCAAGGGATCTAATTTAGCCATTTTTTCTAAGAACTACATTGATACAGACAGGAACAGAAGATTTTCTGCTTACCCTTTCCGCCTCTTGGGACTCAGCACAAAATCATCTTCCTCATCGCTGTCAACTAATATCCGTTTCTTTGCTTTTGCGTCACCACTTTTGGAGGCCAGCAGTGGCTTTTTCAAGATTGCAGGTTTACTTGAACTTGAAGGTCGTGTCGTTGAAGATTTTATAGGAGTACCCATCCGAAGTTGCTTTTGCTTCCTCTGCTTTTTCTCGAATGCCTTCCTCGCTCTTTCAGGAGACAGCATCCCGTGTTCCATCAACCTGCACAAATAATTTCTCACTCTGTCAGCAGTCTTCTGTCTTTGGATGCCAAAGTACAGAATGGAACAACATGCTAGATACTAGTGAGATGATGAGGCAAACAGCACGTTTGGCTAATAAGCTTAACGAGTTGACTTATAAGGAAATAAGTGTTTTTTAAATAAAAAGTGGTATTTAATTTGATAGTAACTTTCATCTTGCTCAAAACCTTATTGTCAATATGAGGTAAAGATTTAAGCACAAAGCCACATACATCATTTATTTAGTAACTTATAAGTAAACTTTGTAAGCTTAGCCAAACATGCTCCTAGTAGGCATGGCATATTTTTAAAACAATTTATGCAATAAACTGAAACATAGCGAATTAATCGGCATCCATTTTTACTTTATGAAGATAACAATCTCCAACTCTACATGAATCAATAAAAAATCTTATAGATTAAGAATTGCCAAAACTTAGCAAGTTTCTTACAGTTCTAAGCCAGATTAAAAGCATAATTTATATCAAATTCTATGACTTCACTTAACAAGAATAACCATGGTAAATTTGACCCAGATAAAAAGACAACTAACCAAAACTCAGCCATTTCACTTGACGGTATCTGCTTTGATAATGATTCATAGAATATCCTCAGTGGTTCTCGCTGTTCGGATGAAGCGATGTATGGAAAAGAACAAGAATTCAGTCAGTACAAACTTCCTAAAGACAATAAGCAATCAAAACTTTGAAGGGGATATGAGAGATACAACCTCTTCAGGGACATCATATTTCTGTCCCGGCAAGGAAAAAACTTTCTTTTCTCTGGTTTTGGTCACTGTTTTGTTGACAGTCTTAGATGAACTCGATGTTGTTTTCGTTTTTAGCTTCACTTAAGCAAGATGATATAAAAATAGATCAAAATCAAAATCACAAATAGCTATAAAGTTATAAACTGATAAATTCAAACTCATACTCACACATATTCACAAAATAAATAAGAAAAATATACAACTCGTAACGCAACAGAGGATGCAGATCGTATGCTCAAGGCTCAACTGGAACTCTCGAAGGCAGACATGAGGAAATGCCTGTAAAGGGGCACAGCCAGGCCGAGTGCAATGCTGCTTATTTCAGTTTTTCTGGTCTCTTTTATTGCTTTAGTTATTTTATATCGCACTTTTTATTATTATTGTTCGCTAGGGGTTAATTTGCCTTCTATGAGGTTTTCCTCATTTCCTTAAAACAAAAGAACTAGGATTGAAGTTGGCTAATTGGCTATTGAAATTTAAAACCAATAAAATAAAATAAAATCAAGTTTTCTTTAGGTCTTGATCCAACATTGGTATTATGTGGAATCTAGTGAGTTTATTGATCGCAAGGGTTCTTGTGTGTGTGTGTGTGTGTATACAATTCCCCTGAAACATTTGGGATCCATAAACACCAAATTCACAGCTAATTACTATCACACCATGTCTGGTAATCCAATCTCAGTAAATTCACACACACACACACACACACACACAGTGTATTCAAATTGTGAGCTCAATAAAAACAAACGAATCCACACTGGAAATCATGCCTCGAGATTTAAAAAAAGGTTCAAATACATCTTAGTAAATGAGTGCAAAAACTTTAAAATGTTACCAAGCAATGTTTTTTGCTAATGGACACCTCAATTTCATATACAAGAATGTTGCAAAGAACAAAATTCAAAATTCCCAATTGATTTTCATACAAAAGGGCATGATTTTGGCAGATGGGCACCTCAATTTATATACAAGAACAGTGCATAAAATATAAATACAAAACTGCCAATTGATTTACATACTAAAAAATGATTTTGGCAGATGAGCACCTCAGTATTATATAGAAGTAAAAAAAATTCCCTATTGATTTAAATACAAAAATGAATGACTTCGTCAGATGGTTGCCCAAGTTTATATACAAAAATGATGCACAAAATAAAAACACAAAAATCCCAATTAATTTTCATACTAAAAGTCATGATTTCTGCAGATTATATAGAAGCAGAAAATGCCCAATATGCTGATATACACCTCAATTTAAGAAATAAAAAAAAATGATCTTCGTAATTGGGCACCTCAGATTTGGAGCTGGATTTCTCTACAAGTTTCTTCTTGTTGATAGATGAATCAATCCTGGCCTTCGATGATGATGACCCATCACCACTAGACTTGAATTTCATCGTATCTTTAGATTTGGTCTCTGTGGCCGTGGATTTATTATAACTCTGTAAACAGGCTGCAATTTTAATAAGAGAAATCCGAATTCTTTATCTAGATTTGCAGACCTATCAAATTGAATACATCGCATGATCTATCTCTCTTATTTGTAGAATTTATCTTTATAAAATTTAATAATAAATGAAAAATGGGAAAAAGAAAGCGAGTAATGGCGTGCTGGGTTTTTAACTGCTGTCAATAAAGCATGAACCCAAATCTACTGTTGCATTGCATGCGGCGATCTTTCCGAAATGTTAAATTTGCCTCCGTCCATAAAAATTTTGAAAGGAAAAAAAAAAAAAATCCTTTCTACGATATCTTCTAATTTCTTTGGTATACTACGGTTGATTTAGCATATCGATACAATTAAAATGAATAATTGAAATAAAAATAAAAATTGGATAGAACGAATCAAAATCACAAGATCAAATTGGCGTTAATTTCTGCTTCATCTAGCAGTGGCTCAGCTTTGCTTGTATGGAGATTAGTCAATATTGAACTTAGCTCATGTTCAAATATTAGGATTGGCTCGATCCTTTGGTTCGTGGACTTCACGAGTCGAGTAGTCTACGAGCAGGGTCCTTTTTAATTATTATTTTAAAAATAAATTAACAAAATAAGCCAAAAAAATGAACAACTTTACAGAAATTAATAAAACAAGTCTAAAAATAAGACATAAAAGAGCTCGTCCACGAGTACAAATGACGTAATGTTTGCTTTGGAATGGCATATGTCCCTCTTACCTCTCACAAATTTCTATTGCGTTTTTTATAGATTCGAACCAAAAGTATCTACCTTATGAGAGATTTAAGTCAAATCCTGTAAAATGCAACAGAAATTCATGAGAGGTAAAAAGGCTAGACACCCTCCCATAATGACAGTATGTAATTTAATAGTTTGGTCCATAAATCGTCTCCAAACGAGCTCAAGTGCCCATGAATCAAGTCGAAATAAGCCGAGCCCGTGAATCACTTAACTCGTTTGTTACCCTTAACTTCATCTCTTCATAGAAAAAATGCAAAAGGAAAAACATAAAAACGATTTTCTAGAAAGTATCACAACAAAATAAAATCCTTATAAGTTGCGTCTAATGTACAATGTTAAAATGTAAAAAGAATTTAGTATAAATCTAGATTAAACAGTAATAACATAATACGTGAATGGTATTATGATAGAATAAATTCAAATTTCGGGAATCAAAGTATAAACATCTAATAGTTGATTCGAACCATAAAATAATGATAAAATCACATAGGATCAATTGGATGTAATTGGAGGTCAAATGAATAAAATATGGTCAAAGATTTTGACAATTCAATTTTCAGCCAAAAAAATTGTTCTCCAATAGCCTCATATTGAAACCCATTTTTGGTATAGAAAATGTTTGAATTGAAAAACTTATACGTGCATAAGAATTGTAGCATTTTGAGTTAGCTTTCCAATGTAGTTTAAAACACCTCAATCGGATATAGAGAGACAAAGTTATGATAAAAATATTGTCAACTATTCAAGATTTAATTGTGTGAATCGAAGTGGAAAGCAGGCAAAAGGCTGGGGTGAGTGCTAAAAAATCATCTGAGAGCCAAAGTTTTTCATTGTGGGCAAGCAAGGAATTGGTCAATGCCCCCGTGCAGGACAAATTTTTGTTGACGGGCCAATTTTCCTTTTATGTTTCAAATTCTTTTTGAATCCAAATTGGACATGATTTTTACCTAATTTTTACTCCTATAAATACTAGACTTGGGCTACACATTAAGGGATCACTCTCTAGCCTCTTAATATCATATCATATCATCAAATTCAATAAGAATAAGAGACCAATTCACAATTTTTAAGAGAAAAGATCAAACCCAAACAAGCAATTGAAGGCAAATTACATCAAAAATTTGAAAAATGAAACTTTGGACCTAAAGATCAATATCTTTTACATTATTTTGTGATCTGAATGATATTTTTCCTTATTATTCTTCTTATAATTTTTATAAAATCATGTTAGGCTAGATCTATGAGTTTTATCGATTGTAAAAAAATGCATGAATAATATTAGACTATTGAAGAATTCAATAAACTAAAAAAAGAACACAAATAATTACGTGGTTTGGCGCCAGTGTAGCAACCTATATCCACCGGAGAAGAGAGAACTTGTATATATTCACTTATGTTTGGAGCTTACAATGAAACATATATAGTCACATTGCATCAAGGTTGTCTTATTAAGGATGAGGCAATCAAGGAAAGAGAATAACGAATTATGGAAATCTTCCAAAACGTGATTGCGCCATAATATTATCCAATATTAGCAAATCCTTCAAATATCTCTCTTCTCCAACACTCTCCTTCAAGTTGGTGCAAAAATATCTATAAAGCCCAACTTGGACAATATCTCATGAAATCTGACAGTAGACAAGCCTTTGGTGAAAATGTCAACTAATTGTTCACTACTACGAACGAAGGGAGTACAAATAACCTTGACTTGGACTTGTTCTCGTATAAAATGACAATCAACTTCAATGTATTTTCTTTGTTCATGAAAAGCTGAATTTGAAGCAATATGAATAGCAGATTGATTATCGCAATACATCTGTGTGGATTGTGACGAGCCAAAGAATTTCACTTGTAGTAGAAGCCATTACCCGATACTCAACTTTAGCACTAGAGCGTGCAACAACATTTTGCTTTTTACTCCTCCATGTCACCAAATTTCCTTCAACAAAAGTGCAATACCTTGTTGTAGATCGTCTCTCAATAGTACTGCTAGCCCAATCCGCATCTGTGTATGCAGTAATAAGAGAATGACCATTCTTACGCATCCATATACCTCTTCCATGTGACCCCTTAAGATAATGCAAAATTCGATTAACAACATCCATATGTGCAACTCGTGGAGAGTACATAAAACGACTAATCAGGCTGACAGCATATGAGATATCGGGTCGAGTAATTGTGAGGTAAATCAGTCTGCCCACCAATCTTTGAAATTGACCCACATCAGATATCGGGTCTCCATCAAGTGGTAATTTTAAATTACACTTTATAGGCATTTGAGCTGACTTAACACCTAATTTACCAGTATCTTGTAACAAATTCAACACATATTTTCTTTGATTGAGAAATATGCCCTTCTTTCAATATACAATCTCTAGTCCGAGAAAGTATTTCAAAATTCCCAAATCTTTGATAGAAAATTGAGTATGAAGAATATTTTTGAGCCTTGATATTTCAACAAGGTCATCACCAGTAATAACTATGTCATCAACATAAATCAAAACAATAACATTACCACTCATACCTTTTTTCACGAGCAAGGAGGAATCTTCATTACTTATCTTTAAACTATTCTTGATAAGAACGTGACTGAGTTTGGCGTACCATGCATGAGGTGATTGTTTAAGACCATATATGGATTTTCTTAATCTGCATGTGAGCTCACTATGACCCTCCAATGGATGACCAGGAGGTATACTCATATAAACTTCTTCTTCAAAATCGTAATGTAGAAATGCATTCTTTCTATCCATCTGAAACAATTTCCAATCATGATTGACGGCTAGAGATATAAGAACACGAAACGTGTTCATTTTGGCTACTGGAGCAAATGTCTCATTTTAATCAACTCTACAAGTTTGAGTAAAGCCCTTGGCAACAAGACATGCTTTATGTTATTCAATATATCCATCACTTCGAAACTTCATTTTATAAACCCAATGACATCCTATTGCCTTCTTTCCTTGAGGGAGTTTTACAATCGACCAAGTGTTGTTATCATCAAGGGCTTGTAACTCTTCTTGCATCGCCTGTTTTCAAATAGGACTAGAATTTGCTTGTCCAAAGTTATTCGGCTCTTGAGTTGAAGCAAACGAAGTTAAAAACGTTGAATGAGATGCAAAAATATTGAAGTATGATAGATGAGCTTGTATAGGATGACTTACGGCTTCATAAGTAACAAAGTCCTTTAATTTTTCTAGAGCTTTGGATATTCTATTTGACCTTTTAGGAACCTATTTTGGAGCATCTAGTACATGTTCTGGTGACAAAAAATTTTGGTGTCCCTACTATTTCCATCTTGTTCAGTTCTTTCTATATCTCCATTTTGTATCGTAGTTTCATTTCGGTTAGGGCTTGCAATGTCAAAAGAAGATATCCATATAGTGGGAAGCGGAAGCAGATCATTCAAACTCTCCCTCTGAGGTAAATTCTTGTTCAAACTTCGCGCTGTAAAATAAGGTTCATTCTCAGAAAACCACACATCTCGTGACACAAATAGCTTCTGAGATTGAGGATCATAGCATACATATCATTTTTTGTCGAAGAATATCCGAAGAAGATGCATCGAATGGAATGAGGATCAAGTTTATCACGATGCAGAGATTGGTAGGGCACATAACAAACACAACCAAATACTTGGAGGTGAGATACGTTAGGTTTTCTCCCTTTCAAGACTTCCAATGGTGACTGAAAATGGATAACACGACTTGGGAGCCTATTTATCAAGTAAACTGCTGTTAGAACTTTGTGTGACCAAAATTTCTTCGAAATATTCATTTGAAGCATGAGAGCTCCCGTAGTCTCCAAAATATGTCTATTTTTTCTTTCAATCACTCCATTTTGTTGGGGTGTACTGATACAACTAGTCTGATGAATAATGCCCTTATTGCGAAGGAAGGCAGGAAAGGGACCCTTTGCAAATTCAGTTCCATTGTTCGAACGGAAAACTTTGATTTTACTATCAAATTGAGTGGCCACCATGCTATGAAAATCCTTAAAAACAGGGTAGACTTCATTCTTAGATTTCAATAAATAAATTCAAGTAGCACGAGAATAATCATCAATAAATAGCATAAAATATTTAAAACCATCATATAAATCAATTCGACATGGGCCCCATAAATCAGAATGAATTAACTCAAAAGGTTTAATGGACATATGATGAATTATTAAATGGTGGACGAACTTGTTTGGAAAATTGACAAATGTCACAAACATGTGTTCCCAAAGAAATAGATGGAAACAAAAAGGATAAAACACGACTAGAAGGATGTCCAAATCTTTGATGCACAATATGATTTTCTAGCATAGCACTATTAAGAGAAGTGGCACCAAATGATTTCAACAGATAAAGTCCATGTGAGTATACACATTCACCAATCTTCTTCCCTGAAGTTCGATCCTGAAATATAACATCATTAGGAGAAAAGATAACATTGCAATTTAAAGAGTTAGTTATTTTTCCAACGAAAAGAAGTTGAGTTGGAAATGAAGGAATCACAAGTGCATCCAAACTAAGCAGAGTAGGAAAAAAATTAATTTTTCAAGATCTACAAATAGGAACTGATGTACCATTAACAACTGAAACAACATGTTTAAATGAATTTTTTGAGAAATCTCTCAAAGATGCTGCATCATTTGCCATATGATCTGTAGCACTCGAATCAATAATCCAAGTATTCAAATGTTTAGATGTACACGAAGAGAAATAAGCTTCAAGGTTATCGGAGACATAAGTGCTAGAAGGAGTTAAATCTTTTGGAGTAGATGCACTAGGATGACCAAGTTGTTGTAGAATTTGGGCCAATTGATTCATTGAAATGGTAGTATCCGCAACACCAGTACCTTTCCTATTTTCTCCTTTCATAGTGGATGGCTTAAGATAAGGATGAAGTTCCCAACAACGATCCTTAGAGTGTCCTAGCTTTTGGCAGTGGTCACATTTGGGAGCTTCACGTCTTTTCTTATTCTGAAAATGTTTCATTTTTCATCTCTTTTAATGGTAAGATTAGAAGACTCGGGCATGTTCTTTAATTATGAATTTATTGCCCTTTTTCAAGTTCTTCTCACTGCACAGTTGCACACATACTCGAAAAGGATAGAATCATAGAACTCATAAGGATATGACTCCGAAGATTCTCATACTCTGGTCTCAAACTACTCAACAAAGAAAAGATCTTATCTTCTTCAGCCCTTTTTAGTAAGATTTTTGCATCGGTTGTTTGTGGACGATACATACTCAATTCGTCCCACATCTTCTTAAGATTACCAAGATTCTCATACTCTTATCTCCTTGCTCAACAGTAGTAATTGTTCGTTTCAATTCAAATATTCTAGCGGCATTATTTTAGTTTCCATAAAGTTCTTCAACAGATTTCTACAACTCTTTTGCCAAGTTTGAAAAAGTGAAGATTTCAGCAATATACGCTTCCATTGAATTTAGAAGCCAAGAACCAACAAGTTGATCATTCGATATCCATCCTTCATATGTTCGATTTGTAGAATCTGGATAGGAAAAAGTGCCATTGATGAAGCCCAATTTTTTCTTTCCACCAAGTGACAACATCACGCCTCTTGACCATGATATATAATTTATACCATTCAACGAAATAGTAGATAACTTCCATCTAGGATTAACATCATTCTCCATTGTTATAGATGGATTAATAACTTTCTTAGTCATTGTAAACTGAAAAACAAAAATCAGAGGCAAAAAAAGTGAAGCAAAAAATTGAAAAACGCGAACAGTTGACTTTGAAGATGATTTTAACCTATTAAACGTTTTCGAAAATAGCCCGAAAGACAGTTAGCTAGATACGGACGATACGAATCTTACGGTTTGAAAGATACAGCCATTTTCGTGGAGGTCGCGCAAAGCTGAAAAAATCTATTTTTGTGGAGATTGTGAAACGTTTCTGAATTTCAGAACAGGTTCAGTTTGAATAGCAATGGAATGAAACAACACATCCGCTCTGAAACATATATAGTCGCATTACATCAATGTATATATTCATTTACATCAATGAAACATATATAGTCGCATTACATCAATGTTGCCTTATTAAGGATGAGACAATCATGGAAAGAGAATAACGAATTATGGATATCTTCCAAAAGGTGATTGCGCCATAATATTTTCCAATATTAGCAAATCCTTCAAATATCATCAAATATCTCTCTTCTCCAACAATTACAAATCAAGTATTGAAATAGATAATAATAGGTGGACTCTAAATCCAATATAATCATCCATTCATTCATACAAATCCAAATTTACATATTTTTTAGAATAACTTAGAATAATCACAAATCAAAACTCTTTTTTGTTATATAATTTGAATTCAATACAAAATTAATTGAATTAGAATTTATTTTATGTGTGACGATATTCTCAACTTACTAATTATATTACTTGTAAACGATTTCGTACATTTGTGAGATTTGAACAAATAAGTTTTTAGCGCTGTTATCGAAGAATAAAATGTTTAATTTAAGCTTATTAGTTTAAATAATATTTGAATTCTATTTTTTATTTTATTTTAAGCTATTAATTACACATATAATCTCTCTTGTTTGTTTCTTGACAGTTTATGCAACATTCTGAAAAAATAAACTCTTACCAGTAGATGCCAAGATCGAAAAGATCTTCAGACAATGAAAAAGAAAATCAGGAGATGAAAGAGAAATAAATAAAAATTAAAATTAAAATCAAAATCAAACTCTATTACCACCTGATCTGTCAACACAATCAATTCCTCCAAGAGCAGTTGTCAACAATAGCAAAGTACTAGTACAAGATTATAAAAATCCCATTCATACTCGTGTACAATCATCTATCATATATCCACCTTTTAGATAGGTCAACTTCTACATCAAACTTGACGTCATCGACTTATTTCAAAATCACCACGACATTAGGTTCCCTGAGAAATCAACTGAAAGTTCTCATGAACGTATTCAAGCTTTCTTGATGCTTTGCGAGGTGATCAGTCGCAAAGGTATGTTAGGTGATGCCTTTTGATGCCACCTTTTCCTTCTACTTTAAGTAAAGATGCACGAGAATGGCCAATCTCACTACTTCCGGGGAAGATGGACGAGAATGGCCAATCTCCCTACTTCCAGGGAACATCATTTTAGAAAAATGACATGGTATGGAAATTTACCTTGAAATTCCTCTTACCTTCTCAAGTCCATCATATCAGAAATAAAGTTCATGCTTTCAAGCAAAATGACCTTGAGAGCTATCCAGAAGCATGAGAAAGATTTAAAAATTACT